CGAGAGGAGGAGTGGCCTACATCAGTCTTCATCGCCCGTCGGATCCTTAGTATCGGCCTTAGCGTTGATACTAAGAAGAGCTATTACCTCGCTTTAGCCGAGGTATACGCTTATAGCTTCTAGATCTCACGCGGATCGACGAAGCTCTGCTTCTATATCCCCCGCGGATAAACGAAGCTCTGTCCGATTTATCCGGATCAGAAAGTTTCTAGATCTCACGCGGATCAACGAAACTCTGTCCGATTTATCAGGACCAGATCTGAGTGCCCCGGTGGTCCACGGATATCAACATCCCCGTCACAGGCCAAAGACCCACGCAAGCAAGAGATGACAAACAGATCTTGCGTTTGTTTGAAAGGAGTTGTATCTGTTTTGTTTTCATTGTGTACCGGTCTTATAAAAAGGCTATCTTTTTATTTCATTGTAACGATTGAAGTTGTAATGAATGCAGCAATGAATACAGCAACTTTTTCCGCAAACACTTTTATGTGATATCCTCAACAAAATACTGAAGAGATTGAAGATAGGGCTTGTCTTATCCAAAGCATTCTAGACTTTTCTATAAAAGAATGAGTCTGAAACACTTTAGAGGGGCTATTTGTAGGTGTCTAAAAATTCCTGTAGATGTCCACACTCAGCTCGAAATGAAGAGAAGATGATGAACTTCATCATCCGAGTCAAGAAAGATTACCTGGGAGGCCCGCACGCTTGTCGGTCAGCTCCAAGTGCCCGCCGCGTTTGTCGGTCAGCTCCAAGTGCCGTAAAGAAGCTAACGAGTGCATGAAACAAGTTAACGAAGTATATAAGTTAACAGGATGACCAGATACATAAAACGACAGAAAATACAAGTTCCGAAAAATCGTAAAGTGCCAAAGAGTCAGCCAATGCCAAATTTCCCGTGCCAACACAGGACAACGGCAGCTGACCCCCATGCCAGCACGGGCTAGGCCGTAGCTGACCGCGCGCCAGCGCGGGGTCCGGTCGCGGCTGAACCGCGCCCCCCGTGGGTCAGTCACAGGCTGACCGGCGGATGTGCCGCGCCCCCCGCGGGTCAGCAGGACCTACCGTGTAATCCTGAGCTCCAAACATGTTTTTGACGGGTCTTTTGCTGTTTTCTCATGATTTGTTCATCCTGAGTGTCTCAACTGATTGGATATCATCCACAAACATGGTTAAGACATTATTAACTGAAGATACGGTCAAATCATTCATTCTTATCCAAATACCCCCATCCGGTGTCCTATAAATATAAACCTAGGGCCTCCATTCTGAGAGGGTAGAATTTTATCAAGAGGGAGAGGTGTTGCTGGATTGAGGAGTCAAAGGAGCACGAATTTACAGCGAAGGCAAGTCAGATCCCTGTGAACTTCAGTATAAAGAGGAAGGCTTTCGAAGAATCTAAACTCATGTTCCCCCCCGTCCGTTCCTTGAGATTAGGCTTGGCCTTAATCTCGAGAAGCGTTACTGATTTCGCTTGGTCAATTTCAGTGCTTCAAGCGAATACTTCCTTGGTGAAGTAGGTGCTCCGTCAATTTTCTGATAACCGGATCTGATCCGCGGCAGTCCACAGATATTAACATCTCCGGCATAGGCGAAGACCCCACGCAAGCCAGAGTTGATAAACAGTTCTTGTGTTTATTTTCTAGAAAGTTGTAATCTTTATTTTTGTTATTTGAATTCGTTTATTTTCTAGAAAGTTGTAATCTTTATTTTTGTTATTTGAATTCATTGTAAACGATCAAAGTTGTAATGAACTCGATAATTTTTTGTTATTTGAATTCATTGTAAACGATCAAAGTTGTAATGAACTCGATAATGAAAACTACTTTCGACAAAAACAAGCATCACCCAATAGCCCACATGGGCCGTGTCACCTAATCTAGTGAGGTTCGACCAAATAGCTTCTAGCGAGTTCATCCAAATAGTCTACATGACAATATAGCGAAGTTCGTCGAAGCCATAGCGAAGTTTGCTGAAGCCATTACGAAGTTCGCTAAAACTGAGACCGCAGCAAAGATCGCCAAAGCCATAACGAAGTTCGCTGAAACCGAAGCTCACCCAAGTAGCAGCGAGCATCGCCTAATAGCCCACATGGGCCGTCTCACCCATTCTAGCGAAGTTCATGCATGGACGTTATTGAAGAACTTCGCATGTGGTCATTATTGGTGGACTTTGTCCATAGTCATTACTGTCGAACCTCGCCCATGATCGTTTTTAGATGCTACTTTAAAGGAAGTGGTTAATGACCACTAACTCATCTATTTAAGGGGAGTTATTGACCACTGACTCACACATTTATAGGAGAATTAATGACCACTAACTTACCCATTAAAGGGAAGTTAAAGCCCACAAACTCACCCATTTAATGCTCTTAAGTCTATAAATAGGCATGATCAACGTGAAGCGCAATGGGGATGGGGCATGAGGCGGAGGAAAATGTCTAGGCTAATATTATGTTAGCTAGACTCTTTGCCATTGAGAAAAAAGAGAAAGAGAGATTCAGAGGTTACACTAAAATCCCTTCTCTCTTCCATTCTAATTGATCTTCATAGATCATTATCATCCGCTAATCAATTGGCCCGATCAACAATCCTTGTGAGTAATAATTTATTCTCTTCAGCTAGTCATCTAGCTTAATCACAAGTTCCAATGAGAAATGATTTGTTATTATCTCTTCATCCGACGAAGACTGCATTATATTCTGAGAGATTAGACATCATCAATCAGTAAAATACCCATCGTCTTAGTCGGACTGTTAACAGAGTACAAGATCTGGGGAATTTATTTCAAAATATGAAGATCTGGGAACTTATTTCAAAATAGATGAGATTTGAGGGACCAATATCTCAAAAAAATCATTTTTTTAATTACATTATTCACACTTTAATATGTCAAAATCTATTAAGCTTTGAAAATTCAATGTTTAAATCACGTCACGTCTACCTTGAGGATTCTGTTTTGACAAGAACATAGTGTAACGAGCCCCTAAATTATAACTTTTCCCTAAGAAACCCAACTTCTATTTTTTACAGAGAAACCCCTAAGTTTTGCTAAACCCCTAAGTTTTGCTCATCTCTTCTTAGAAGCTCTCAACTTTATTTTTTTTCCAATAAAACTAAGTTTTATTCCCCTCTTCTAAGAAGCCTCCAACTTTTGTTATAGTTAAGGGATTTTACTGTCAAAAAAGGAAAGATGAGGGCTTCTTAGAAAAGAGTGTAAAACTTAGTTGTTAAAACAAAGGAGGTCAATGGCTTCTTAAAAAAGGGGTAAAACATAGGAGCATATTTGTTAAAAATATAAAACCGAGAGCTTTGGGAAAAGAAAGGTAAAACTTAGGGCTTCTTTTTACTAAATAAAAGTTGACCGGGAGTCCAACATCATACCATCACCAAATAGACATAAACCTTATTTTGATTACAAGATAGAG